AGCTGCAGGTCATTCAGAACTCTGCAGCTCGTGTACTGTCCCGCACCAGGCTTCGGGACCACATCACTCCCACCCTCGCTCGCCTCCACTGGCTCCCCATCCCCCAGAGGATTGATTTCAAGATCCTCATCCTCACCTACAAGGCCATTCACGGCCTTGCTCCCTCCTACCTCTCCAACCTACTATCCCCCTACCTACCTGCCCGTACCCTCCGTTCCTCTGGCTCCGGTCTGCTCCACGTCCCCCGCCCCAACCGCCCTACTATCGGTGGTCGGGCCTTCAGCCTCTCAGCCCCGAGGCTCTGGAACTCCATCCCCCAGTGCCTTCGCCTTGCTTCCTCCCTTTCCTCCTTCAAGGCCGGTCTCAAAACCTTTCTCTTTGACCGTGCCTTCAGCTCCCCTCTCGACTCTCTTCCTCCTCCTCGCTCCCTCCCTTCCCTCCCCTCACCCTGACCATTTCCCCCTCCTCTCTCCCTCCCTCCCTCACCCTGACCATTTCCCCCCAATGCTCGGGTCATGACCCAACTGTGCAGCGCCTTGGGACGTCCTCCTGACGTGAAAGGCGCTCTATAAATGGAATCTTGTTGTTGTTGTTGTTGTTGAGCTCAGAGTCCAGGAAATAAATCTAGTCCAGGCTGAACTTGGAAGCTTTTTTTTTCGTGCTGTTTCTAGATTTCGCCCGCAAAGCGTACAGTACGTTCTGTGAAGCGCTTTCGTGAGAAGTCTCGGGGACGTGATGAGGCGCTGGGTCAATTGCAAGGATTGTTATTAATTTCGAATTTGGGGAATTTTGTCCAATTCGTGGCCAGTTTATAATTCCAAATCGAACGGTCCCACATTAACCACAATGTCATTACCGGTGAGATGTGAAGCCGTACGTGCTGTAAGTGTTGAAGGTCATGTGTGTGTGTGTGTCAGACAGTTCATGTGTGCTCAATATAACACATGGTGAAATGACCCCATGTGCAGCGACAGAGATGTCCAGTCTGGTCGGGGCAGAGGGAGTGTGGGGTGGGGGGGTGGGGTGGGGGGAGGGGGCTGGTGGGATTTCGGAGGACAACCCATCTCATCTGAAGGACCATTATTGGCTGAACTTCCGCAGTTTGTCAACCCATTGGATGGGATAATTATCCCGTGAAATCCGTGACGAAACATTGCATTTTCCCCGCCTCCACCTCTCGTAACTCATTCATAATAGAGACGGACGGAGCTGTCTATCTGAGTTGTTACAGTTTACTGACACGCGTGGCGTGACATTGAGTTTGACAGTAAAGATTGAGGTAACACTGAAATAGAGGAAGGTTTGGGTAATATTCCGAGGGTGTCCTTGTGCTCTGCTTCAGCCTGTCAAGGTTTGTACGCCACTCGGCCCAAACAGTCATGCCGGTGTTTATACACCATACGAGTCTCTATCTCTCACACCCCGCTACTCACTCCCTCCCACACCCTCCCTTCCCTTCCCTCTCCCTCATGTGAAGGTCTAGCTTCTTCTCGAATAAATCTACACGATCCGATTCAATCACCACTTCAGGCAGCAAGCTCTACACTCTCATTCACCTCTGGGTGAAGTGGTTCACAGGGCCTGTGCAAACCCAGCGATAACAATGTGCAAACCTGGTGATAACGGGGTCTCAGTTAACTCCACAAATCCCACTGGCAAATCTATTCTGTAGCTGTGATGGCTGACTTTGACTGAAAATGTAAGAATTCTGGGAAAGCTCCTAAATGGTAATAATAATCCTTTACATTCGATATAACACCTTATCGCGTGACGAGATGTCTCAAAGCGCTTCACAGGATATCGAGCGATCCGGGATGCAATGCCGCCCTGCGCGAGGTGCGCTACATAAATGCAAGTTGTTGTTGTTGTTGTTGTTACTGCAAAGTGAACTGACTGTACGTTTTGTGGCTGAAACACGGCAGCCGATTGCGCACACCGGTGTCCCGCAAACAATCGTGGATTGAGTGACCGAATCGACTTAACAACCGGGTTTCTGCTTACTGCTGGGTAAACAGATGTGCTTGGAGTCAGGAAACTTGCCTCAGGTTTCGTCCCCGCCCGGGAATCACACCCGGGTCCTCTCGCTGGCGAGGTCTCCTCCACCCAGTACGCTACAGGACTCTCAAGTTGTGTAGGAAGCTGTAGGAAGTGCAGTGCTGTGCGCGTAGGATGTGAGTGACTGCTCTGTCAGTGCGTGCTCTCTCTCTCTCGCTCACACACACACACACACACGCTCCCAGCCCTGATGTTGCCTATAATAGAAGGTGACACGAGAGCAGATTCTGCAGTCGCAGACATCCATGTAAATTAGTCACTAATTTAATTTTTTTCATTAGGGATATCAGCGTCTAATAACTCCAACCTCAGCGTTCAAATTCCATCACTGTCTTCATATCACACACCGTTGTCAGGCCACACAGTCCACACCGCGTACATATGCACACACAGAGTCACACACACAGGCTCACACACACACACACATACGCACACACACACGCACACACACACCCACACAGGAGTCATACACACACACACAGTCACACACACATACGCACACACACACGCACACACACACCCACACAGGAGTCATACACACACACACACAGTCACACACACATATGCACACACACATACACACAGAGTCACACATACACACACACACAGTCACAAACACACTGTCTCACATGCAGTCTCTCACACGCAGACATTCACACTCACAATGGACAAACCTACAGTCCACGCACACAGGTATGCACGGCACAGAGATGTACACACACACGCGGCACACACTCAACAACAACAACAACTTGCATTTACACACTGCCCTTCACACGAGTAGCATCGCGGGTGCTAGATAGTGGCGGAGCACAATGACAAGCCAGGGGGAGGAAAATCGGGAAGGAGGTGGCAAGGATTGAGGGAGAGAGTTCCAGTTCTCCGGGTATAGTGGCTCACTATGCTCACTCACACACGCACGGATACACACACAGTCGCACAGTCAAATACTGAGTCACACAATCACACATGCGCATTCACACTCACGCACACGCACCCATCCGCACACACTCACACACATGCACTCATTTAATTTCACGCACATTCACACGGACACAAGTTAAGGAATGGCAGCCTGTTTTGCACACCGGCATACTAACAATAAAAATAATAATCCTTGCATTTGACAAAGCACCTCAGCACGTCATTGAGACGTCTCAAAGCGCTTCACAGAATACGCTGTAAAGTGTAGTGACTGTGTATTCTGTTGGCGAAATGCGGCAGCCAATTGCGCACGGCAGTGTCCCACAAACAGCCTGGCAGTGAGTGACCAATTTTATTTGGGAGATTGTCGGTCAGGCTGCCGGGGAGAGAAGAAACTCCCTTCTCTTTTCCAACAGTCCTGCGGGATCTTTAACATCCACCTGTACGGGGGCAGACGGGACCTCGGTTTAGCTTCTCATCCGAAGGACGGTATCTCCCCGACAATACAGCGCTCGACTGTGAGCTCAAAGTCCCTGATGTGAGGCTCAAAGCCACATCCTCCTGACCGGGAGACGAGACTGCGAGCGGCCGAGCCAGGTTGAGATATAAATCTGAGTCTGAGGTCGCTCTCTCTCTCTCTCTCTCTCTCGTTGTGTTTATCTGATGTAATCGTGCTGTTAGCTTGGTAAGGCGTAAACAGAAAGCTGCTCAGATGTAAACGCTGTGTATACGGCACAGCCTCACAGCATTAATCAGTTGACTGGGTGAAGATCTTATAAACAAATAAAAGGGGTTATTTGTTATTCCGGGTCTCGGTGGGGGTGGGGGGGGGCCTGAGATTTTACGGCAGTAACTTTTGACCCAAACCCACTTCCTGTAGCGCCTCACAGACATGTTCCCCTGCCCAGTCACTCCAGCGATCACGCTCCCGCCTCCGAGTCAGAAGGTTGTGGGTTCAAGCCCCACGTCGGGACGTCAACTCACACAGTCTTAAATGGTAACTTAATAATAAATTTAATAATAATGTGGTCGCTCAAGCCACGGCCGTTTGTGGGGACACTGCGGTGCGCAATTGGCTGCCGCGTTCGCCCACAAATATACAGTCAATTCACTTTACAGTGTGTTCTGTGAAGCGCTTTGGGACGTCCTCCTGACGTGAAAAGCGCTATATCAAATGCAAGGATTATTATTATTATTATTGTGGGTTCAAGCCCCACGTCGGGTGTTTGAGACGCCCCTCAGGCGTGATAAGGCGCGATATCAAACGCGAGGCTTATTATTATTTTACACACGCCTGACACAGAGACTCAGTGAGGGTCGCCCGCTGTGTACCCCCAGCGTCTCTAACCTCCCCTTTAATTCCTCCTTGTAATTATCTTAAATTTGTGCCTCGGCTGATTGACTGGCGACCAGTGAAGTGATCGATCGCTGCTCACACCATTGTAACCCTTTGCGGTCTCACAGCCCTCACTCGAGGCTGCACCATTAACCCTCTCAGCTCCAGTCACAAACATCTCAGGCCTCTCTTCAGATCAGAAACCCCATTAGCGATGACAATAATAACGAGAATCCTTACATTTGAATATAGCGCCTTATCACGCCGTTGAGACATCTCGAAGCACTTCGCAGAATACACTGTCAAGGGGATTGACTGTGCGTTCGTGCGTGAAATTCGGCTGCCGCAGCAGCGTCCCACGAAAGTCGTGGATTGAGTGACGAGGGAATTCCAGAGCCTCGAAGTATATTGGCTGAAGGCACGGCAGCCGAAGGTGGAGCGGAGGACTCGGGAGACGAGGAGGAGGCCAGACCCGGAGGAACGAAGGCAACCACTACACTACAGAACTCCACGGGGCTGATCGATTGGGGTCTGAGCTTCTCTGCGAGTGTGCAGGGTAGGGGTGGGATGGGGTGGGAGGCAGGGAGGTAAGTGTAACCAGCGTAGTAACTGTATGAGCTGCTCACTAAGAGAGAGAGAGAGAGAGTCTGTACGAGCACAGAAACCAGGCGCTGTGTGCAGTGCTTTAGGCGATTGCTGGCAGCAATTTCATGGCCGGCTGACTCCCGTTTCTTTTAGTTAGCCTTTCTATAAACCTCTCCTGACCCCTGTCCCAGGCGCCAACACCTGGGTAGGCCACGGGCGACGGGACGTGAGAGCGAGCTGTGACAGTGGGAAAGAAAAGCACATCGATCCTTCCTGACACATGAAATAACTCAGCTCTGAGGAAACCAGCGACTTGCTCCCGCCCACCTGGATAAATCAGCCGGGGTGTCTGACACATGCGGAAACCCATCACCGTGCTAAAGAGTCTCCAAACCAAACAGAATTCCATCCATCCCACCTACACATGGAAATCCCAGAGATAGATTGTTGGAATGAAATGCGCACTCTCTCTCTCCCTGGAAGGACGCATCCTGCCCACCTAATTCTGGAGAGTATCAGGCACGGGTTGGCAAGAGCCAAGGCTTGGGGGACCCCAGAGTGTGCGTTGGGAGTAACTGCTTAAGCCTAACCAGCTAAAACCACAGAGCTTGCCATTGAGAGCGCTGTCTGGTAAGCTTTCCCGCTGCTTGTCCAGCCAGGACCACCCTACCTGTCAAGGCTTTGGCTTGCAGGGTTAACAGGAGCTGAGTGGGAGGATTCCCTGCCCCCAGTGACTGGCCTGCCCTTCCAGGTCCTGCCGGTCAACCAGGACTGGGCTGTCATCAGCAGTGCCCTGGAATACTGTGGACCCCCCTGGCTAACAGGGAACAATTTGTTCCTGTCTATTCCCTGCCCACTCCATGTTCCCCGCCCTGTCCGCTCCACCATCAGAGGTCAGGCCTTCAGCCTGTCTGCCCCCACTCTCTGGAACTCCATCCTGGAGCCTCTCCACTCAACCCCCTCCCTTGCCTCCTTCAAGGCCCATCTCAAGATATTCCTTTCAACCATACCTTCAGGCATCTTCCCATTCCCCCCACCACTTCCCCTCTCCGATCCTGCAAACCCTTCACTGTTCAGTGGTTTGGGACATCCTCCTGACGTGAAAGGCGCAGTATAAATGCGATTTGGAGTCCCGTAGCGGTTAGCAAGCGGGAGGATCTGGGTTCGATTCCCGGGTGGGGCAAAACCTTAGGCAAGTTTCCTTACACCACAGGTTAACCTCTGTTAACCTAGCAGTAAATAGGAACCCGGTTGTCAGTCGATTGGCGGATCGCTTTCTGGGGGTAATAATGCCTCAAAAAAATTGTGGTCACTAAACCCACCACTGTTTGCGGGACGCCGCTGTGCGCAACTGGCTGTCAATCCACTTTACAATAAGAATATAAGAGCATAAGAATTTGCTAAGCAAAAGTAGACCAAGATCTATCCAGATCAGCTTCCACTATCATGGCAGTCACATGCACATGTCATGTCCCAAAATATATACTGTACCCAAGATATTATTTCCTGAAATAAATCTATCTAACTTGCTTTTGAAAGAATCAACACTTTCTGCTTCACACCATCTGTCTCCCTTGGGAGCTTGTTCCCTACATTTACCGCTCGCTCACTGAATTAGTGTTTCCGCGGATTTGTTCTGAATTTACCCCCATTCAATCGCAGGCCGTGTCCTCTGGTTCTACTGTTCGGGACAAGATAAAACAGCTTATCAGGGTCTATGTTATCTATTTCCTTCAGAATGTTGTAAAGGGCAATCATATTGCCTCTTAACCTTCTCTTCTCCAGTGTGAACATGCCCAGTTTACCTAATCGCTCCTCCTAGCCCAGTCCCTCCACCCCCTCAATCATTTTGGTTGCCCTCCGTTGTATCCTCTCAATCGTTGCAATATTCTTTTTGTATTGCGGTGACCAGAACTGCACACAGTATTCCAATGCTTTATGGAGTGGCAGGATTGCCTTACTATTTTGGCTCAGTTTAATAACAATAATAATAATAATAATCCTTGCATTGCCCCATCACATTTTTCAAGACACTCCAAAGCGCTTCACAGGACACATTGCAAAGTGAACTGACACGCAGTATATCCTGTGAAGCGCTTTGAGACGTCTCATCGACGTGTAAGGCGCTACATCAAATGATTATTGTTAGAACACTCCCACACCTGCTCTGTGGGGCTGGCCTCAGTTCCCTCCCCTCCCCTTCCCTCCTCGCTTCCTCACCTCTACCGTCCCCTCGCTCTGGCCCTGACCTCCCCCCCCTCCCCTTGCACTTGATAATAACATTGCATTTGATATAGTGCCGTATCACAACTTCTAGACGTCTCAAAGTGCTTCACGGAATATACTGTAAAGTGAATTGACTGGGTTTTGTGAGGGAAACGGGGCAGCCAATTGCACTCAGCAGTGTCTCACAAACAGTCGTGGATTGAGTGACCAAATTATTATTATTATTTTATTTTGTGAAGGGATTATTACCCCCGGAAAAGCGATCTGCCAATCGACTAACAACTTGCTGCTCGGTAAACAGAGGCGTGTGGAGCAAGTAAACTAGCCCAAGGTATCGCCCTACCCGGGAATCGATTCTGGGTCCTCTCGCTTGCGAGGCGAGTGCTCTAACCACTAAACTATTTCCCCCCCGTTCCCCTCACCCTGGTCCCGACGCCCTGTAAAGTGCTGATGATCTCCTCTCACCGCAATCGATGGGAAGAGGCCACCCTGTAATGGGCTGTATTAATGATGAAAAATCTGCTCGTCAGCTCGCTGTCACACACACATTCATCACCGCCTGGCCTGACATTCCACTACCCACCCACCACACACACACACACACACACATCATACCATCTCCACACACAGACACACACACACACCCATCGCACCACCTCCACACACACACACACACATCGCACCACCTCCGCATACACACCCCCTTCACACCACCTCCACTCACACACACGTACACAAACAATCACACCACCTCCACACACACATACCCGTCACACCACCTCCACTCACACACGCCCATCACACCACCTCCATACAGACACACACACACACATACACCCATCACACCACCTCCACACACACACACACACACACTCCGACTCACCCCCCAGCACTCTCCTCTCCCTCTGTCCTCTCCCGCTGTGTCTCACTATCTCTCTGTGTGTCAGTCTCAGTCTCTCTCTTAGTCTCTGTCGGTCTCTCCCACTCTGTCAGTCTATTTCTTTCAGTCTCTCTCTCTGTGTGTCTTTCCCTCTCTCAGTCACTCTTGCTTTGGGTGTCTCTCCTTATCTTTCTCTCCATCTCTCCTCTCTCTCTCTGCCTCTCCATCTCTCTCTCTCTCTCTCTGTCTCTCTTGTACACTAATTGACAAGCTTGCCCAGCACTTGATTGTGTAACAAGCCCCCCCACTCCCCCGAGTATAATTATACAAACGTTTAATGTTATTTCACCCTTGGGTGAGGATGTCAGGCTTGAGGAGCAGCCATGTAACCTGGTAATAAATTAATTCTCACGCTCGCCTCAATCCTTCCGTCACACGAGAGGTGAGGTCAAGGCAACCACTCCGCACCCCAACACGACACCCCATCCCCCGAACCGGCCACCCCCCCACTCCTCTACACTAACACTCAACTAACATCTAATAAGATACCTACCGTAACCTACTGGTGTTCGCTCACCCACTGGAGCTCTCTACTCTAATCCCATTGCCTGCTCTCTCTCCATCATATCTGAAGTGTTTATTACTATTTTCCTAAAGTATTAATTCCCTTTTAATTGCTTTACAGACTCGGCTTCAACACTCCAATCTTTTGCAAATCCGATCCAATGTCTGTAACGCGAAAATATCCAAATCGCATCAAAGGATTTATTTTAAACTGTAGGGATTGTATATTTGGAAGTAAACGTGGCAGCTAATTTGTACACAATGACGTCCCACAAACTGCCATGAAGCGAGGGACCAATTTTATCTGGGGATTGCTGGCCAGAGTAGTGGGAGAGAGAGTGGGATTTTTGTGGGATCTTTAACGCCCACCTGAACAGGCACAAACAAACCTCGGTTTAACACCTCATAGAAGGAAGACGCCTCTAACAATGCAGGGCTCACCCTAGCACTGCCCTGAGCTCCCCAAAGTGGGGCATTAACCCCTAACTTCCTGACCCAGAAGCCAGAGTGCTGCCTACTTTCAATGAGCTTCAAAGTAAGACAAAAAATAACAGTGAGAGAGCGAGAGAGAGAGCGAGAGAGAGACACCCCCCACCACCAGTCCATTGCATTGGAGCGTCAGCTTAAGACTGTGTGATTCTAAATCCTGACGTGGGGTCTTGAACCCACAACCTTCTGACTCGGGGAGGCGAGAGCATTTACCACTACACCAGGCAGAGAAAGAGATGCACAGACAGACGAAGCCAAGGATCTGCGAGGCGAATGAGTGTGAGAGCGAGTGTGAGCAGCGGGCCGACTCAGCCAGGCTACGGTTCAAATCGCTTTGAGGCGGGAAGTGCCGGCCCGTTAATTAAGGAGCGAAACCGATATTCAAGGTGGAAACAGCGAGTTGCACTGTGACGATCTGTGTCGGCAACTCTGTGATCCCACCCAACGCACACACTGCACCCCACGTCCGACACGCGCCCACTCCACTCTCTCTCTGGCTCTGCCCTATCTCTCTGGGTCCTGTAGCTCAGTGGTTAGCGCGCTCGCCTCGCAAGCAAGGGAACCTGGGCTCGATTCCCAGGCAGGCCGAAACGTTGGGCACGTTTCCTCGCTCCACACGCCTCTGTTTCCCTAGCAGTAAGTGAGAACCCGGTTGTGAGGTCGATTTGGCCACTCGATCCACGACCGTTTGCGGGGACGCAAATTGGCTGCCTCGTTTCGCCCACAAAATATACAGTCAACTCACTTGACACTGTGAAGAGCTTTGAGACGCCTCGAAGACTTGATACGGCGCTGTATCAAATGCAAGGATGGTAATTATTTATTATTACCGCACACGACACACACCCCACCTTACGCTGAAACCGTTAAGAGCTTCGAGACGCTGGCCCCGCGGGAGCGGTGCTGAGTAAGTGCACGGTTGTTGTCGCTGCGTGCAAATTGGCTGCTGCGTTTGCACAACAACAAGATTGCATTTATAGAGCGCCTGTCACGCCGGGAGGACGTCCCAAAGCGCTGGACAGTTTGGGTCGGGACCCGAGCAGCGGGGAAATGGTCAGGGTGCGGGGAGGGAAGGGAG